TCACATGCACTGTGCGTTGTTCACAACGTAGTTCAAACACCACTGAAAGTATACGTTAAATCGTGTTTATTTTGATGATTACTGAGTTTGATGATCACAGGTTTATTGTGAAAGTGCTATTAAACATTAAAAATATTACACAAATAGTAATTATAAAACAGCATTGTTAGTGCATTTAAATTTTATTATTATCTGCAATGCACAACATTGCTCCAGTATTGATTTATTTATTACAATTATCAATTATTCAGTAAAAGTAATTATCCATTCATTCTACAGTGTATCCCTGCTGCGTCATACTACGCCATAGTCACACTCCTCCCCCCACTGAACCCCACTTCACACCCCTCCACCACTCCTCACTCCACTCTACTCCACTCCATTTCACCACACCCACTCCACTCCATTCCACTTCAACCCAATCCAATCCAATCCACTCCACGCTGACACCCACCCACTCATCCCGTTCATCACACCCCAACTCATTTAAACAACTCCAACCCACTCATCCCACTACATTGCATCGCACCCCGTTCCATACACTCACTCTACGCCACTACTCCACCATCCTTCCACCTAACCATTCTACTTCACTATACTTTACACCATTCTACTCTTCTCCATTCTAGTGAACACCTCTGTGCTTCATTCCCCTTCTTTCCACTCTACTTTTCTTCTTTCAACTTACTTCTCTACTCCAAACCATTTCACGCCACACCACTAGTCAATTTTATTCCACGCCCAGCCTCTTTCAGCGACGCCCCACCTCTCTCTACATCCCAGTCTCTCCTCACTGCCCAGTCCAGCCCGGCTCAACCTGCCTCAGCCCCCCAAGCCTGCCTGACCTTCCAACCTATCAATCCCTCTCTTCCTCTCGTCACTCCGCACAACTCCATTCCTTCTCACAAGCTCCATTTCTCCCCAACCCTAATCTCCGTCCTACTCCTACCACCCTTCAACCCTCTCAGCACTCCCCACACCTCCCTCTCCATCCATAAATACCCCATCCCTCCCCCCAACCACTCCTCTTCTCACCCCTTCTCCTCCGGTCAGCATCATCCCTTGTCGTCTCGCCCGGTCACGCCCCGACATGCCCCGTCACATCCCGCCACACCCCGCCACGCCCTTCTCCATCCTGCTTCAAGGAATCTCAAGGCGCGCCGCGCCACGCAGCGCCAAACCACACACTCCATGCCCCTCCACGTCCCCCCCACGCCAATCCCGCTCCCAACTGCTCTATCGGTTACTACCACCTGCATTGCTACGACAGCTCTAAACATTGAATGCATTTTTGCATTCTCCCGGCAAACGTCCATTGGCAAAATATCAAATAGATTATCACTGTATATTGATAGCCGTCCATCAATGCGATATCATAAGATCGAAAGTTGGGACACAATCTGCCGCCCTCTATCTAGAAATCATTTACATTAGTTGTACCGTCTAGGAAAAATTAGTCGGTAAACATAATTTCGTAAACTTCTATTCATGTAGAAATTAAGGCGCTTAAATAATTAATTCAAGTTATGCGAGATAAAACTAAAACCACCCAATGAAAGTCTCATCGACATCGGTTTAGCAATTTTTGAGATTAGCCTGAACATAATGACATACAGAGGGACAAAAATTGTGAAAACAAATGGAAGAGATTAATAGCATGTAAAACCCATCCCATAAACCATATGAGCTTTAAAAATGTTTAAATCACGTAAATTCACTAAGTTTCATAATTAACAAACAAATATTCTGACCTCATCAACTACTAACACAATCGGGCACGGATTTTTTTAGATTAGATTAGATAAAAATACATTTTGCATTGGAACCATTGCGGAACATACATTCATCATTTCTTTACAATCGCTTGAATTGAAGTGACAGATAGTTTCAAGATATTTAATTGCTGCCTGACCCTCAAATTTATTGGAAGAACTGAAACGTGCAGTATTTTTGCCATTATTAAATGTACCTGAGACGCCGTTCATCATTTGAAAGGGAGTTTGTGGATCGTAATCTTTGTACAAAGTCGAAAACGTTACTATTGTTAATAAGTTTCAACCTCGTAACTGCTCACTTGAGCACCGTTTACTTTTCCATAAAAATACCGAAGGATTTCACTATTATCTTCCGTCACTTATAACGTGAGGCCAACCCATCTACAAGCAACGAGTTATAAAATAATTCGCATATAACGAGTCAAATGAAAGAACAAACTCAACGACTTTCTCATCTCTAGACAAATGTAAGTTAGTGAGCATCCCAAACTCTTGTAGTACAATTTCTTGTGAAATAAAAAAGATTCGTTTTTTTTCATTAAATTTTAATTTCTTAACTTTCCAAAGCAGTGATGGAAATAAGAGCATTATTTGACTATTCAAATTTGTGTTTCTTAAAATATAAACTACAAATTATCGTCTAAGAAAAAAACTATGTAAATTAACTGTTTACCTAAAAATTGAAATGGTTTTAATGATAAAATTTCTCAGTTCAAATGTTCTAGTGAATCCGAACAACTTTATATATCCCATTCCCTAAATAAAATTCACGACATATTTCACTTCCAGACCAAAGGAATAGGTAATCTGAAATATTGTATCAAGTATCCTATGTGAATGTGAAATTATTGCTAACGACAAAATACTCATTAAGTTATATTGCCCGGAAAATGTGCACTGATTGCAATTGTTTGCTAATAACCTAAATGTTTCAAAAGTGGAGATTGATGAGTTCGTTAACATACCTTCCATTGTACTAATGACGCGCTAACTGAACACGCCTTTGTATTAAAATTTGTTCCGCGTATTTTGTAACATGCGTTTCAGGTATTTCGAAGTTGATGTTTTTACTACCCTTCAACAGATATTTAATTTCACTTGGCAGTTCTAGTTAATACACAATGCCAGTTCCTTCGCTCAGTATTAATATGCGTTTCTGATGTATTGATGTTTTGATAAATGGTTATACGAGGTCTTTTTCATAATTTGTTGGAAAACGTCAACAGTTAAAGTTACATATGATATGAATGTGGTACAGAAGACAATTTTGCAAGCGCTTTCTTGGAAGGTGAGAACGTATTACATTATGGAGGTGATGTACGCAAATTTGAATGTAAACTTGAACTTTGAAGCAGCGAAAAATGATCAACTATTCATCGAAATTTTAAAAATTGACAAATGAATTTTTAATAAATGTGATAGAAATGAATAAAATCTACTTACAAGACAGTTTTCTTGAATGTCACAGCACTCACAGACATGTTAAATAGTTTGCACATTTCTTGACACGTATCGTCATGATTATTGGGTTTAAGGGTTGAATTTTCTAGTTTATACAGTTACTTACAAAATGCCTGGTCGTGTATTTAAGTATTGTTTTTATCCAATGAATATATAAGGAACGTCTAAATTTTCTTATTTTTATGGCATTATTCCGGGATATAAATTTCTCTTCTTCTATTAATATCTGCCGGAAATTTCCTCTCAAAAATATTGCTGTCTTACTCCCAATAGTTTACTGAAGAAATGCTCTTTATCTTTTTCATTGGACATCACAAGTAGTAAATGATTTATAAAATGATTATTTCAGTTGGGAACGTTGTTACTCCATCAAGAACAAGAACCTTACTACCCGTAAATTCTTAGCTCTTTTAAACTTATCGTTGATGCAAGTAACTAATGACGACGAAAACAATATAGAAAGACGGATGTCTACGTCAAAGAAAAACTTACAAAATACGTTGTAAGGAAGTTCATCATTTCTACGTGACCATCCATTACAGAACAAATTATAATTTTAGACCTGTTCTGGCTCCAGGAATTTCATTTGGCCATTCCACAGCAATCTTGGACGTTCCACATTTCGTCTGTCTTGAGGTTTATATTCAAACATTGTAGCGGGATACGTGAACTGTGCATTCTTTTGATAGCCGAGCCGCGACCTATATAAACGCTTACATTGCTTACTTGAAGTTTTGATATAACATCTTTACTTTTTATGTTTCTGTAAAGTGTAATCCGCTTGCAGTACCAGTAAACTCCTTTTACTCTTCTTTAGTCTTCTTGCTCTTTGAGATGTTGCGAATCCATGACTCTGCACCATTGAAGAAAATTGTAAACGCTTTAGTTCTGTTGGAATTCATGGATGTTTCAACATAAAATTTTTAAAAAAATTATGATTTCTTATTTTACGTTCAATAGAAATGGACATTTATCAATCACGTAGGTGCTATAGTTTTCATAGAATCAAAACCTATAAACAGAATTTTGACGATAATATGACAAATATGTGACATAAATATCTCTCTGCGATAGAAAGAGAGGCTTGAGAATCTAGCGTATAGTGATTCAGACAGCAACTTCAGTAATCCTTTTGCAAAAAGTCAAATACGAGTCATATATAAGGGGCAAAAAGGTATTTGGAATCTCATGTTTAAAAATTGAAGGTTCCATTTCCAATTCTTTATCTTCCAATTCATACCATTCATTTCATTTTTAAATGTACCAGAGTTTTTTTAATTAAGTTATTGTATATTTGGCCTGTTAAAAGTGTTCACTGCAATATTTGATGCATCACTAATTATTTTAAGGTGTTATTCCTTAGATATTTTTGTATAATTTGCTTAATTTTGAAATTATGATCATATTGGATTGCTTCATAAACATTACATTGAGACATCAGCGTGGGGAGCTGTTTTACCCACTAGCTAATAAATATGTATCAAGAGATCGAAGCTTCTGTTTTCTTCGCCTATATGTCTTAAAAATGCCTTTCTTCCAAAAAAAGAAAGAAACCTGAAATAATTAATTTTTTAAATATTTCATCAACATTATCGGAATGCGAATCTCAGCGAAGCTTACTTAGTTAGGAAAGTTAAAGATTCTAATGTAACCTTTTACTGTGTAATGTCATAGTGAAAGTTATGATTGTATTACACAATAGTTTGGTAAATTTTCAATTCAAAGGACTGCAAATTTGATTTAAATTGCATGTTTTTCCCACAGGTACCAGCCGTTCGGAACGAGAAGTTCTACAGTTGTTGCGAAGAGCCGTATCCGGATATCATCTTCAACATAACGCTTCGCCGAAAGACGCTCTTTTACACCGTCAACCTCATCATCCCGTGCGTGGGCATCTCGTTCCTGTCGGTGCTCGTCTTCTACTTGCCCTCGGACTCCGGGGAGAAGGTGTCGCTGTGTATTTCCATTCTCCTGTCGCTCACCGTGTTTTTCTTACTACTCGCCGAGATCATCCCGCCCACGTCGCTCACAGTGCCGCTGCTCGGCAAGTACCTGCTCTTCACCATGGTGCTGGTGACGCTGTCCGTCGTGGTCACCATCGCCGTGCTCAACGTAAACTTCCGGTCGCCGGTCACGCATCGGATGAGGCCGTGGGTTCATCGGCTTTTCATACAACTACTGCCCAAGGTGAGGCACGGATGGCCTGTGTGTCCTCACATTATGAGTTCTTGTGTGCACCGCTTATAACATGAACAATTACCACTATTATTTTGAATAACGTGCTCTGATTAGTGTATTAATTTAGATCTGGAGTAGGCTATAAATATTTTAATTATGAAATTTAATAATACATTGCATAGAGAAAGAGACAAAGAATCCGTTGATCTATTTTCATTTATCACTATTGAATATCAGAACACGAAGTTTTAATCAAAGAAAATTAATATATCTGTTGTTTTCTCTTTTTTTTAATATTCAGCATGTAAATAACTATACAATTTATTACTAATTTTGTTGAATTTAAAATAATTTAAATAATTTTCTATCTATTTCATGTATTACTTAACTATTTGTCAATAAGTTACTAATGAATATCAATTATTTAATATGTATAATTCACTCACTTTCTTACTAATAATTAGTTGTAATGCTGACATATCTTTTCATGAAAGAAGATGTATAAATATTCGCAGTACATAAGATAAGTATCCATAACAAAACAATACTTAACATGAATATTTCTTAAATATTATTTTTTAACCATGATTACTATGATAATAATTTCCAGCGATGCCTAAACGAAATTCATGCAGAAAAAATCATATTCCATTAAGTCAAGAATTTACATTCATCGTTACGTTTTTTTGTTGTTTTTTTTAATTGAATTGAATTTGCCTTATTTTACGTGGCGAGACGTTTTAACCTCGATCTGATTACCTTTCAGTGAAATATGCGAAGACATTGTTTCAAACTTCTTGAGATCGTTAAAGAATTTCACACTCTTGAGTATTTCTATTTAAAATTAATACGAATTTTTCTGAATAATACGAATTTTAATTCCAAAGTTTGATCACGTGTGTTGTATATAACGCGTAGTTGAAAAGTAAAACATTGGTATTTTCTTGCTGTATTTTCAATATTCGTTGTAAAACATTGAATATTGAAATATTAGTAATTGATTCAATGAAGACTACCCTTTAATCAAAATATCCAAAACTAACATTTTGACAGTGTTTATGGACATAACTTTCATCCATACGTTCGAACATTTGAAATTATGTGTGTAATGTGAATATTAAATTACAGTTTTGTTTTTTGTTATTATTATTATTATTATTATTAAATTAACGTAATTATTTGTAAAGCAGTATATAAAGAAACATTTACGAGAAACCTCCACTTTTCTTTGTACATCATCTCTCCATTTACAAGTTTGGAATAAATGTTTTAAATATTTTTCTTGGAAAACATATCCTGTAGAAATATTGAACTTATTAAAAAGTATAATTGAAAACATGCTTCGGAATAATTTGTCTTGTGACGAAGCGTTGTTTATCTCTACCTTTCTGTTACACATTTCACATAAACAACGTTCGTAAAAAAAACATAAATTAAGGATGTAATATGCTTAAAGTGTGTTATCTGAATGAAAGTACAATGCAAAAGAGTTAAGTGAAATAATGATAAAGAAAATAGTAATAAATGAATGTAGTAATAAATGAATGTAGCAATAAACAAATGTAGTAGCAAATTAATGTAATAAATTAATGTGGTGGTAAATGAAATGAGCTAAATGAATAGAGTAGAGGATAGAACCGAGCGCCGTCATAACGTGGCCCCCGCCCGGTTGCAGGTGCTGCTGATCGAGCGTCCGAAGAAAGAGGACAGCGTGGACGACGAGGAG